AAACGATTGGAAAATACTTACATATTTCCCAAAGAACGGTCCAAAGATTAAGCCGACTATTGCATAGATTCCTATAATAAACCCCACTGTAGTCTGTGAAGCTCCTCTTTGTAGAGCCTGTAAAACATAACGAATGTGTCTTGTTTTTACATTCTGAAACTTGGCTCGTGTTTGTTAACAGGTGTAACGTTTAAGTATTTTATTGAAATGCTCTCTATTGTCATCATCTAACTATGATCATTGAACGAATATAAATGCTGCAGAATACACATCTTTAATGAGATACACTGTACATGTACCGTATGATGATAAGATTATCGGTCATATCCCTTCATCAAAGGTCATCAAACAAAATGTAATACATCTTACCTCTCCTGGAAAGAAGGGAGTCACTATGGAGTAACTACAGTACGCTATAAAGTTGTTCAAGGCGATGCAGACAAACGTGACGATCTGGACTCTGGTCCCCCTGGTGCAGCTAAAACCCTCGGAGTCCGGGTCTTCCTCGCCTGCAGTCTCTGTAGAACCCGCTAGGGGGTCCGTGAGGGCGTTGGCCCCATCGGTAAGAACGGCAACGGAGCCGTACTGGCTGTGGTTGAGACTTCTCTCTGTGCTGACCAGCGGGGGTGACGCGCTGAGACCCTCGTGTTCGTCCATCATGGCTACTGGAGTTCGTTTAATAGTTTACGGCGCCGTGACACAGCAATTCAAGTTCTAGAGGCTATCCAGTGAAGATGGCACTATGGTACAAATGCTTTATCTCTTCAGTACGTCTCTACAACGACCGTTCGGTCAAATAACGGATTAATCTTCATGCGAATACTTTACATAATTGTCCGGAGGGGTAGCTGTGGCTCTTCCGGGTTCGTTCCGTCTCCATGTCACTAACCTGGCTACCAGCGGGCGGACATTCTGGTCTACTCGGCTCTCGGCTCCCTCCACAATCCCTGACACCCGCCTACCCAACTCTGTCCATAGATCTAGGCGTCAGACGATTACTACGTACATGTAGAAAACGTCCCGTGCTAACTTACGTAACGCGGCCGGTATCGCACCGCACCAACCCGCTCTGACCTCCAACCCTTGACCGTACTCTTGGCCAGCCAATGGCGACGAGGGTAACAAATTGCGTATACCGCGCCCGCTAACACCTGTTGGATTAAAGTCCAACTTCCTGATTACCTAACCTCCATATCAGGCTCCACGGTGGGTGTTTTGAGACTACGTTTTAGTGTTAAGTGGCAGCCATATTCGTCGGCTAGATTTTCAGCGAGGCTACAACAAACCCGACTACCGAAAAGGATCTTTTCCGTCTAAAAACAGCTAACGTTACACCAAGGAAGTTATAGGGGCCTTGGTTACACGTTACATGTTGTACGACACATCTACTGCTGTCCCAAGAAAACAAGATAAAGATATATTCTTGTATGTGCTGTTTTTAATAAAAATAATAATCACTTTGGACATATGATGTGCAACGTTCACCTATTTCATGTACAAGTAATTAAAGAACATCGAAATCACAATGAAAAGAACTCAGAAAATCAATGAATGGTTTCAACAAAGCAAATTACATTTCATGTAAGTCAATGAATTTTGATCACATCTTTTTACTAAAGATTAGTTTTAATCGATCGAGAAGAAAATAATTAACATATTACATAACTGATAAACATATTTTTCATTTGAACGCTTTACATTCATATTATTAGAATTTATCAATATGGGGAAATATGGGGAATTACAGACTTAAAGTTGTAGGTGATTTTACGATCAGTAGATGGTCCTTTGCGCCGCCTGCAAAAATAAATAAATTTTTCATGAGATTGCTTGGAAACTGTTGAGTAGCATAGAATACTTAATACTTTCCATTACGAATGCAATTTAAGCAAAGGCAACACCAGTTGGCATTTGAATCAGGTATCGACCTGCATGTTAAAGACCCCAACACACTTATCACGCTTTTCTAAACTCCCGGTGATGTCTTAGACTTTCATAAGTAATATCTCCAAACCCCTCGGTTGTCTTTACCTTTTTAAATGCTTGTAGTACTCCCAGAGGTAGAACACAGCCAACACTACAGTCTGAAACACAGTAAAGTTGACAGGTTTGTCACATGTTAACTTGTGTTTCACTACCTTTTTTACCACTCAATGACATGCTAGACTTGGGTTATGTAAGGTTTGTGTGAGGTAAAATGATAATTGAGTAATTTCCATCCCAGCATTGCGTCTTCTACAACTTTCAAGCAATAAATCAGATACACATTAACAACGATTTATTGAAGACAGACTCACATAGAACAAAATAAATCCTCCAAAAAATGTTGTTGCCCACGGAAAGCCAAACTCCTCCACCAAGGCACTGCTAACTGTGGGGCCTACAAAGTCTCTGCAGATTGGTAGAAAATGATTATGTAAGATAGATTAGAAAAAAAACTTCCATCCAACTTCATTTATTGAACTCTAGCAATATAATTATACATGTAGCAGATACGTTTTCTTCATTACACACAAAACCATTACTTGTTGACACAAAATGTGGTCTTACAAGGCAAGTCAAGATGTGGAAAGTTATGTGATATAGGCAGCTGTTGATGCACATGTGATTCTAACTGGTGTGTTATGCCAAATTTCACATTACAACATCAGTTTGGTTGACAATTTTGGGTTCAGATTCAGAATAAAAGAACATTACAACGCGTACTATTCCGTGGAGTACTACTGACTCACCCTATAGAATAGGATCCAGAGAAAAGCCCAGACACAATGCCGTATTTTGCAAAGTTGTCCTCTATGCCTGCGTCACTGAACAAATCCAACCATTGAGTTTCAAAAGTTAGGATAGAGAAAAAAGTCTAAAATATGCAGATTCAGTTCAATATCTTCAAAATAACTTTTCACAGACTTTCTATAACAAATTATACTATAACCTAATATGCAAGGAGTTTAAACTTTCACATGTATTGTGAAATAAAAGAAAAATCATTTACGTTTCAACATAAAATGATTTTTCTTGATTTTTGAAGCCTGAATAACAAAGCAGGACCTACCCTCTACCAGGCTTCGGGAGGCGTCTGGAAAGAGTGGAAATTTGTCAAATAGAGAGATGACATACCGAGGGAGTTGGTCCGCTAGACAGTACATTTTGCACAATGTACTCGATTACAATTTCGGGTGCCGCAAAATGTCTATCGGACCAATTCCCCCGGCATGTTATCTCTCTATTTGGCCAATTTCTACTCTATCCAGCCGCCTCCCCAAGCCTGGTAGAGGCTAAGCAGGACCCACCTGGCGGCCCAGAGCATCTCATTCATGATGGGTGACATGATGGGACCCAAACTCAGGGCCATCAACACTAGTCCCACAATATTCACCCACTGTTGTCTGCAACAATAAAAACACCTTCTGATTTATCAATATCGGATATCAGATATTGCAAACAAGCACCTATATTTTCCTTTGTGTTGATGAATCGTGAATTCAATGCCAACGGTCCTGGCGAAATACCCTAATGAATTACATTATAGAAATTTATTATTCTTCTGAGAATGGTATAATAGTATTACTTATGTTTCATGATTACAAAGTACCCATCTCTGACTATACCTCATACTACATCCTACCTATCAGATTCTATCAGATGCTTGTTACCACCCAGAGCATACCAGGTCAATCAACTCTGAAACACAATCATTGCCCACTCACTTCGAAGCCTTGCTGCTGAGTACGAAATACCTGTTCATATACTCTCCAAGCAGGGGTTTGGGTTATTTTTGGCGTATTTTTACGCTTTTTTTTTCGGGGTTTCTTTTTTGCACAGGAATTTTTGTCACAAAATTCCAGTGCAAAAAAAGAACACCCAAACCTCTGTTTGGTGAGTAATGTTCATGTACAAACTTCCCCTAAACCAATGAGCAGCGCTGAAGTTGTAATCGCTGAAGCCTGACTTACACGGGTAGTATGTGGAGGTAGTCTGCCAGGAGAGGGGAGGGACCTATCATCAGTACTGACACAGTCAGCACAGACATCCCTCCAATTATCATCAACCGGGCTGCTTTCTGCAAAAAAAGGTTGCAACTGTGTAAAAGCTTTTTTTTACCAACAAACAGAATGTAACTTGTTCTAACTATTGTCTATTTCCATTGCAAATACGTTAATTCAACCAAAGGGAATTTTCACGATGTCCTCTTCACAAAACGTATATGAAATTTGGAAATAGGTTGATGTGGCATTATGTAGCAGCATTGGTACTGACATCCGATGTGTAATGATTAGGTGCTAGACTCTTTCCCGAAGTCTTAACTACTAGTTAAAGACTTCGGGAAAGAGCTAGAGTACTTTGTACCTTCCTATCAGCAAGGAAGCCCCAGACAGGTGCTGCTAGTGTGTACACACCGCCCCATAGCACGAAAATCAAGCCTATGCTGGTCGGGCTTGTTTTGAACTACAAAATGGAGAGGAAATGTTTTAAACACTAAATGATGACAACAAACATCCATTCAATATTTGCACCATTAAATTACGTTTTAATACTAGAAAGGCCAATATTTGCTTTGGAGCAAATACAGCGATGGGTTCACCACATTTTACCACATGGCAGGGAAAGAATGAGAAACACAAGGGAAAACAATGGTTTACATTGATATAACTATAATATGAAGTAACATACAACTAAAACAACAGTTGGATAGCTATTCCCTACTTTATTGGTTAGGATTTTTAATTGCATAATGCAAACTGTTGATTTTACAAAAAAAACGTTACATGCCCCGCATTCCAATGCTGGAGCAGAAAAGCTTGAAATACCTACCAAAACACTTGAATAAAGACATACTGTCAGTATGGAAATGCTCTGTGCAGGTGTTAATCAAGTTAAATCCCAACAGCCAATCAGCAAGAAATGCTCTGTGCAGGTGGAAATGCTCTGTGCAGGTGTTAATCAAGTTAAATCCCAACAGCCAATCAGCAAGAAGTATAGAGGAAAGCTGCATGCCTATTGGTTGATGCCCTGCATTCCATTGTGATGACTCATGCCCAGACATCACAATACAGAGGTGACAGTGAAAACCGTGAACATTGACCCCCCGCTTGCGTTGCGGTACAGTGAAAAAAAATCGGGAATTACAGCAATCAATTTACTGAGTATGTTTGCTTAGTTTCCAGATGTTTTGTACTTGTAGTTTTCCGAACGAAAACCGATGCGCGCACAGATGTTACTTTTGTGACAACATCAAAGTGATTTTGGTTTGTATGTTGAAAAAATACAAAAGACTAGCATTCGAAGTTATTGAAATTCTTGAGTAAGAACAATCAGTTTTGGAATGTTAAAAGCAAAGCAATGGATATTAAAACGAAAATGTTAAAATTAAATGTTGAAATTGTTAAAATGTAAAATGGTTAAAATTGTTGAAATTGTTAAAATTGTTAAAAATTGTAAAAAGGATAATTAAAAGTATCCAGTGTACCGGGGTTCGAACTCGTAATGTCTGGACTTGCAGCCCTGCGCGTTACCAACCGAGCTATCTGGACACGTTTCCATTACTCTCTGCATTGTATGTCATATAAAGTGAACAACATGGCGGTAAAGATCGCTTCAAGTACTAGTAAGGGACTTTCTAGGAGATACACTCTACAATTTTGGTGATTCTTCAGAAATCGATAACAGAATATATAATACTAGTCGGTGAAGATTGTGGAAAATTGTTGATACCGTGGCGCGCGCGCGTGCGCCGACGATACACATTACGTACCGTTGTTTACAGTACTCGCGGGGCGCAGGTCATTGACCTCCCGCTTGCGTTGTTACAACAGAGAAGAGCAAAATATCTGCCAGTTTTTGCGTCAGATTTTCAGTGTTTGTTAAAATCATATACAGGCATCCATGCAGGCAAGGGTACCGAAGTAACGGGTTCCTCACTGGCCACCCAGTGCGGAACTCAGGGGGAAAGTGGCGTCGGCACTCGGGGCCCTGTGCGGAAGAAAGCTCCGCACTGGAATTCTAGTGCAGAAACGGCTTTGTTCCAGTGCTGAAACACCGTCAGGACTGGAATTCCAGAGCTGAATCTTGACTCGGCACTCGTTTTCCGGTGCTAAACTTCCACTCAGCACTCGTTTGCCAGAGCTCGGAGGCCGTTCACCACTGGATAGCCAGCGCTCGGAGGCCGTTCACCACTGGATAGCCAGCGCTCGGAGGCCGTTCACCACTGGATAGCTAGTGCTGAATTCCACTCGGCACTCGCTACCAGTGCTCGGGGGACGTTCACCACTGGATAGCAAGTGCCGAAGTCCCTAAGTAACGCGTTCCTCACTGGATCGTTCCAGTGCTCGGTGACTCTTGGTGCTGGAAGCCGAGTTCTCATATCATTTCGGCACTGGGCCTCTGGTGCTTACGTCGGCCGTGCGGCGTACAGTACAGTATCGCAGGCCAAGTCTATGTCTGTAAAATGTGAGGATCTGAGGCCTTGCAGTATTGTCCTGACGATCACCTTGTTGTCCCGATTATAATTTGTTACCCGGGCGGTACGATCTCGAAAATATAAGTGTTAGAGTTCAAAGGCGGCATCTCGGTACCCTTTCTAAAGACAAGGTTTGAATTGCCGATTTAGAGTTTCCAGTGCTGAAGCCGCCGACACTGGGCGCCAAGTGTTGACGTAACTTCGGCACTGGAGATCTAGGACGGAAGCCGCCTCACCTCTGTCTACCGAGTGCTGAGAAAGGAACCCGTTACTTCGGTACTTTTGCTCCATGCAGCTATAATTCTTCCAACTAGTTCGTAGTTAGGTGAAATGTTTATAGGAATCACACGAATCGGTATCCAGTATCAGAGTATCATGGCCCACGGCCGAGACCGCGTGGACCAGCTGCGCTGGTACGTGAAAATGGTAGTAAATAAATTAATTAGCCAACAGCCAATCAACAGCCACATCTGCAAACATGACCACACCTGCTTGTATGCCCATATTTGGGCCTTCCCCCGAATTCCTTTCTTATTACGTCACGCGCGTACGCCCCCACAGTACTTTCCTATGGGGACCACTACAAAGCAAATAAAACGATTGTAAAAGCTTGTATCAAAAAAAATTAGAAAAACGCCTAAGGGTATTCACCCACTCTACCTCTATACGAAATTACAGATAATTTCGCCCAAAAATGAAGGAGTTGAATCAATTTAAAGAAGTGGCAGGAGGAGGAGAAGGAGGAGGAGGAGGAGGAGAAGAAACATCAGAAAAAGCAATATGGGTTCACCACCACTTCGTGGTGTGGTGAACCCATAAAAATCATAAGAAATATGGCATGTTCACCTGGTCTGACAGGTAAGGCTCTAAGATGGGTTGGAGGAAGGACATGTTACATGACGTCACCATCGTCAGTCCACCTACAGACAAATGCGCATGTGGCTGTTCAGTAAAGCTGTGGGTCATCGTAACCAGAACATACAGTACTATAGGGTTTGCAACTTTAGAAAGCAAAAGGTGCATTTCTGCGGGTATGTATCCAAAGCACATCCAAACAAACGTTCAAGCCTTTCGGCCCCGGAGCCCAAAATATGCATTGTATAATTGTCTGAAAACGTAAAAAAAAAACATTTTAGGAGGATTATATAAAGAAAACAACAATTATTTTGCCCACTCTACCTCCATAGCAAATTTAAGGTGTTTGACCAAATGGCAGAAGGAAGAGAAGAAAAAGAAACACGAGTAAAACAATACATGTCATGTCATGTATGGATGAAATATTTTCCTTCTTACAAGTCAGGGCGATGGTTGGAACCCTGAGGAAGGACAGTAAAGCTGATGTGGTCTGCTTTTCTTCCTCTTTCTCATCTACACAAACGCATGGGAAGGAAGTGGGTAAGAAATCAATATGTAGGGCGATGAAAAAAAAATCAGAAAACACCTTTTTAAACGACGAAAAGTTTACATCAATCCAGTGACATATACCAACTGAGGACTCAAACTCTGGATTTATCCAAAGCAGACCCGATCGCATTTTCCCATATGTTTATTCAGGGACATTATATAGGTGGTTCATCATAATCATACCATCTTGCTTAGGCAGCAGGATCCACACAACCACACCCGAACACAGCATCACTCCTCCAACCAGCAGGAACGGCATCTTATAACCTCCGATCTACATGTTGGTTGGAAGAAGAATTTTGCAGTTATAATCAGTACTAAAATGTTATAGAGCAAGCACACAAAAAACTGTACTGCATGCATGGCATATATTTTGTCATACACAAGTATCATAAAATACAGAGCGAGAATACATCATGTGCGTGCGGTATCTATATCAAACGATAATTCACTTCTATGATATCAGTTTTGAAAACTCACGTCGTATAACAGTCCCCCCAGAGCAGGCCCTGACATCAAACCGATACCGTTGAACCCTTCCAGAGCGCCCTGCAAGGGAAATATATTAGCAAAAATGGATATGGACTATCCACAACATGGACGGAAGTCAACAGAACCTCTACTTTCTTCTCGTGTGTACAATATGTTAAGCAAATTACGTGTGTGACATTTGCTGAAGATTAGACATCCAGGTGATATGATGCGCCAAACAACATTTACTTAAGCAACGTTTCAGGTAGCATCCACTACCTTTCGTCAGTGTCAGTGACGAAATATAGTGAATGCTACCTGAAACGTCAGACCGTTTCCAAGTTGCTTGAGTAACTGTTGTTGGCGAAAGTTAAACACTGTTCAAGAAAAAAATTACCATGACTTTAGCCACGTTGTTTGGGAATGCGTGAGTCAGGATGGCTACTCCTGCCGTGATGTAGGCAGACACTCCAAAAGCCTCCAGTGTCCTGGTCACGAAACAGTAAACTACAAAGCTAGTTCCCTCAATGTATTCTGAAAATCTGCAGGGGTAGGACAAAAATATTACAAGTAAGATCTGAAAAGACCCTGCCAATACTGCAACGTTCCATGTAATAAATGTAGTTACAATTATCAAAGTAGCTGACTTACGAGTCTATCAACACATTCAGCGAAATAAAATACGGCATTTGAAAGACATAAAGACAAAACAACCAGTGTGGTACCGGCAGCAAACTTACCCGAACATCAGAGAGCAGCACCCACCTACAAACATCCCGGTTATCAACATGAACCTGGACCCTATATATGTGATCTAAGTGTGATGGGAGGAAGGAGAACTCAGTAAACATTGTGGCATGAAACCATGACCTTGATTCTTATAACAGAAACGAAAACTATCCACAAGAATATAGGATTTACATAGATTTATTTACATAAACATCATCATACAGTAACGTTACGTTGTCTGAAATATCTATATATATATGATAGTAAGTTATCATATATAAGTCAAAACGTCAGCAAAGTATATATATCATCATTATTCTTACTGTGAAGTGTAGTGTAGTGTACTCACATATTTTCCAAAGATTGGGGCAGATATAAAGCTGACTATTGCAAAGCAGCTAAAAACAAAACCCACGGTCACTTGTGAGGCTCCTCTTTGGAGAGCCTAAATAGCATGAACCAGAACATTCACTGTTATTTATATATATGCAAGATCATTAAGAAAGTTACGTTTGACTAGGTCTTGCATAAGAATATAAATGGCTGCAATGTGGTACTAGTAAGTCTTACCAGTTACAATTGTGTGTTACAAACAAAACAAAACATAGAGAGAAAAGCTCAAATCTATTTACCTCTTTTGGAAAAAAAGGTGCGATGACAGAGAAACTGCAGGACCCTGCAAAGTTGACGAAACTGATACAGACAAGTGTTAGAATTTGAGTTTTCGATCCTTTTGGACAACAGAACCATTGGAAACCTTCCTGGTCTTCTTCCCTTGAGCCAAAAACATCCTCTTCGGCCGTCACGGTGTTCTCGATACTTCCTCCATTTACTTGCAAATCAGCCTCTGGGGCGTTACAAGAATTAGAGGGATCTGAAGTTCTGTCTACAGAAGTTGGACTATCCGTAATCTCCATGCCAGATCACAAGAGAGAGAATAAAATCACATACACAGACTAGAATCATAGAGAAGGCACTAAGAGAGTACGAACTACTGTAAGTAATGATCTAACTATAATGGTACCTAGAATCTAGTAGAAAAACGAGTTGTACTAGTCTAAAGTTGACTCATGAACTTTCACCCCACGTAGTTTCTGCAGGTGTGGCCAGAATGGTATGTGGGTGTGGAGCAACATTTCTTCCCCTCCCAAATAACTGCCCGGAATGTATTTACCGGTACGTTAACTTGAAGTGCATGAGCAGTGCGTAATCCGATGTTTCGATTGTGGTTCAGCGCATAGGTTATAGTTTTCCATGATCTTACACTGAGCTGCATTTCAGATTCAAGCTCAGAAGAGAGCTTGTAACTAAGTTTTGTTTACACTTAATTAGGTTGGATGAACCAGTGCGCTCATTCCAGGAAAAATTAACCCTGTATGTGTGCGCTTGATTGAGTTGTAACCGCAGATTTCACGGCGGCGAAAAAAAATGTTTGGGAAATCTGCCTTATATGACATTTACTGACATTCCTTATCACATTTCGTCATCACTTCATACCTGAAGCGTGACCGTGCGACTGAGTTGCGCAATCACCCATCACCTCTGACCTGAATGAGTACATTATACATAAAAGGGGGGATTCAATTTGACACATTAACAGTATATCAAACCAACTAAAGCAGATGTCAAACTCACAGATTCTACGATTGGCCGATGTCTAACTTCTTGTTATAAAGTTAGATGTTAGCTTCCTATTTATAGCTTTGACACGTAATGCATCACCCCCATTTCCCTATATTGTATGTTCCAACATGGCTGCGCCCATGGCGAGGTTGCGACTGACGCTCTCCTGAAGTTGCTGTCGGATATTTGGGTATTTTTATTGCATTTTACACCTTACTGTTTTAATATCTTACATTCCAAGGGTTGGTAAAACTGTCGGTATGGCAAAGAAGGGCGAAAATTTATCTAATTATATATAGTCAAGTGCCAGATTTTTTTTGGGGGGGGGGCACATGGACACGTTTACATGTACGTTTGTAGTGTACTGGTCATGTAGCCGAGGCGGCATATCTATAAAAGTGGCTCACTTAATAGCCACGGCTACTGGTCATGTTGCTATATATAATTTCACAGTTTGTACCTCCTGCTTTCCCAACGGCAGCGGTTTACTGCGTACAGCATATTCTGGTAGTGAATTCCATGTGTGTTCTAAACTTTTGTTAACCTTTGGCTCTCTTTTTTTCAGAGAAGTGATCACACCAACCAAACTTCAGTCAACTTCAGAAAGACCAGGACATGACCATGTTTGGAGCCTCAGACTGGGGTGATGATGATGAGGCAGCACGCCTGGCCCAGTCGCTGTTTTCCTCGGGAGATGGTTTGTCTTCATTCACAAAGGTAAGACAGTCATCCTGTCAAACTCAGATCTGAGTACAAGAAACTGCACAATTCTAGGTAACATTAGTATGCTAAATGGCTCTGAGAGAAATATCTTGAAAATGTTACATAGTCGGTCGCACACCATTATAGTAAATAGTGGATCCAGGAGGACCAATCTTATTTGCATCTTTGCAAAATTTGTTTAGGCGAGGCCAAGAATGTACACTGTTAAAACTTGATACGACTTTTGTCACACAGCACAAGAGGAAAAGTGTCAAATCAAAAGAGGTTCTAAAGCATGGAGGGAACCAGGAGACCTTAGAACAGAAGAAAGAAGACCCCAAAGTTGGTAGTGATCAGAGCAATGGATCTAGTGCCATGTCTCACAAGCCAAAAAGGAAAAGAACCAGGAAGAAAAAGCCACATTTGTCAGCTGAAGGTACAGAAATGTCTACCAAGCCACAGATAACGCTTAAACAAAAAAGAAAACTGAAGAGAAAAAGACAGGAAGAATCTGAAGTTGGAGAAGATGTATCCTCAAGCCGTGCAAGTGAAGGAGACAGAAAAACACAACCAAAAACAAAGAAGGCAAGAAAGTCAAAGACACAGCAACAAGTCGGTGTGGACGAGACAGACAACTGTGCAGATGCAGGACCTGTCAGAGTAAAGAAACCAAGTTTCAAACAAGGAACAGCCAAAGACAGCAAGGTACCTCCTGCAGGTACTTCAGAAGTGCCAAAGACAAGCCTAAAAAGAAAGACAACTGAGACAAGAAGTGAACCAAGTGTTCAGAGTATCAAGGGGAAAACCTCTGATGAAGTCCCTGTTAAGATGCAGAAGATACAAAAGTCAAAGCATACAGAAAAAGAGACAGATGTCAACAAAGACACAACAGGACCAAGTGACAGCCAAGGCAGCCAGGAGGACACTAAGAAGGGAAAGAAAAGACAGAAGAAGAAGAAGAACAGGAATAAGAACAAATTCAAAGCAGCTGAAGAAGACAAGTCCACTGTACCAACTGTTGAAAAAAGTAGCAATGGCAGTACAGAAAAGTCTAAGCCATCCGCTGAAGATGATCAGACTGGAAAAGCTGTTCTAAAAGAAAAAGGAAAAATGGCCAGAACAGGGATCACAGAAAAGGCTCCTCAGCAAGTTGCCAAGGAGGAAAATGTAGAAACTTCTCCTAGTGCCAAACCTCCAGGAAAGAAGAAAAGTTCTCCCTTTGCCAAGCTGCAAAAGGTGTTGCAGTTCATGAGGCCAAATCAGGAGGCTGAAAAGTCTCCACCATCCTTTCCCGGGCCAAATATTTTACATCTGGTAAACCTGTCAGACGAGGAAGACAGTGGGAAAACAGGCAAGCAGAAAGGAGACACAGACACACTGGCAGACAGTAAAACCAAAAGCACAAAGGAACTAGCAGAAAGCAAAAAGATGAAGAAACAAAGTGGTGGTATTGCAGATATTAGAACTAAACATCAGCAGACTCCCTTTAAGACATCAGAGGAAAGTCTTGAGAAGGATCCCAAAGAAGGAGTACAGGACCGTTCTTCTGTACTGAGACAAAAGATGGAGGCCAGGTTGAAGTCAGCCAGGTTCAGACAGATCAATGAGATGCTCTACACTACAACAGGTAGGTGTGCACCTGTACATGTTTATCGTTAGGCCACTAATATTTCATTTTCTTGATTCTTGGTCACCTTTAAGAAATCGTGGTAGCCAGCGACAATAGAGAGTTGGCGGAAACTACAGAGGATGGCACACAGGCTGGTTGTATCGCTTAAACTAATAGTGTTATGGTGTATGCTTCATACACAGTGGTGTTGAAGTAAAGTATCTTATGTCCTCTTTAAGGCGAAGAAGCCAGAAGGATGTTCCAGAAGGATCCAGGTGCGTTCCAGGTGTACCACCAGGGCTTCTCAGCACAGGTGCAGAAATGGCCGGTAAATCCAGTGGACAAGATCATAGCCTGGCTCAAGAGAAGGTACAATGTTGTTACAAGTAACAATATGTTGAAAGGGAAATCATGCTAGTTAGTAGGTGTGTTATACCTTCTAGGTTCTTCCTGGGACGAAACAATTATTGGCATCAGATCAGCTTAAAATAGTACAGGACAGACTGCAATACTTCATCCAAAAGCTAGGAGGCATTGCAGATAAGGAGGCCACATTCCTGAACTACTAGTACTCTATCTTTTCATCTGAAAGTCCTAGTGGAGCAAAACAACTTAAGTTTTCTTGTAAATGTTAGCTGTCAAGTTTTGATTACTATGACACACTATTAGATTTTACATAGATGATATAGATAATTACAAAATTAGTAGTGCATCTGTAACTTTGCACATTTTTGCAGGCAGTCTTCTGAAGTAGTGGCAGACTTTGGATGTGGAGACGCTAAAGTAGCCCGGAGTGTGAAGAACCGTGTTCACTCCTTCGACCTGGTGGCTGTCAACAAACATGTGACTGTGTGTGACATGACCAAGGTTGGTGCTCTAAATACTTACAGTATGTCATGAATGGGCCACACCAGTTCTTGGATTTAGAAAGATGCTCTACTGGAAAATCATCATGAAAACAAAGGCTGAGGAAAAGTTGTCTTCTTGGTTTACCAAGATTCAAAGATTTCCCCCAACCCTGTTTATGTAAACGCATATGTAACTTAGTAAGTGTAGGGGAAGGGAGAATTATTCTGACTGTGAGGAGTTTATTCTATAATGTATTATATGATGTGTATACATGAATGGCACCAATGGCTGCTTTGGTATCATGTAATATCGGTTTATTTGTGTACATGCTGTCATTGGAAATAAAAATCAGAATCTGAATGCTGGACCTGTGTTTGCTCCCACCCAGGTTCCCCTGGAGGATGAGACTGTAGATGTGGCAGTTTTCTGTCTGGCCCTGATGGGAACCAACACCTCTGACTTCCTCAGGGAAGCCAACAGGGTCCTCAGACTGGGGTGAGTTGGGCCCAGACTTCATGTTTCATTTGTTGTCAGTTTTATGGATGTTATCCATCTGTCCATAAACATAACATCTATCTCTACAGTTCCTTGATGTAACCCAAATCTTGTAAGTGGTTTGTATGAGCCTTGTTTTGAGTTGAAAATTGAAAAAATGGGATGAAAAGAGAGGAAAATTGGATCTGTCCATATTAGTATTCATTCCCAAAACTGACCCTTTAGCTCCAGTTTCCTATTGATTTTTCAGTTTAGCATTATTTTCTAATCCAAGAATGACAAATTGAGCTTGAAAGGACACCGTAAAGCTCAATTTGTGTAATTTTTTTCTCAAAGCAAAATTTTGATAACTGTAACATGTAACCTGCATTCTTCAACAAGCCGTCATAGCTTGAAAATGCTTATAAAAACTTGTCATCATGGTATTTGTAACTTTTTCTCACACAGTGGTGTACTTAAAATTGCTGAAGTTGCCAGCAGGTTCGAAAACGTCAATGGCTTCATCAGAGGGCTTGGACTCTTTGGATTCAAGCTTGTGTCAAAGGTATTTTATCTTTTATTTATTCAACATCCAACTCACCTTATAGAAGACAAGAACATACTAGTAGGGAGTAGCCATGCTGGAATCAAGACATTTGGTTACAGACACATGCACACAGTCAAACAGACAATACTTGTAAATATGTGGTAAAGTAAAGAGACCGCCACAGTTTGGCAGTTTAGCTTGCTAGGCATTTTATTTGGTTCTCAAGAAATAATACACCTTTTGTTTCTGTGCAGGACCTGTCCAACAGCCACTTTGTCATGTTTGAGTTCACCAAGATGTCTGAACCGAAGACCAGCCGGGCAAGTTCTGCACTGGAACTCAGACCCTGTCTGTACAAGAAGAGATAGGCCATGTCCAGAATCATGTGGATGTACATGTATCTGTAGCAGAGCTTGACTTGAAGGCTGATATTTTTCTTGTATGTACAACAACATGTAAGACCCATCCTGTGCAAGCTGTTGTAGGGTCACCGGGGCCTTAAATATGCAGTTTGTTCATTAAAAGCTTTTTAATTTCCCGCGGACAAAGACAAATGAATTTGACATACTTTATATTAGATATGGACAGACTAAATTCACAATTGGTTTTAGAAATTGGACCATGTCTGGTCCCTGTCATCAGGAACTCTTGGCAGGTTCAAGTCCACACTTTTTCTGCCGTCTTTAACCAGCTGGAGTTTGATGATGGGGAGTTTTTCGGGCTCCTTCTTGTCGTTCTTTGCCATGACGTCGTCGGGATTGTCCACAGCGATACGGAGTGTGCAGCCTGGGTGTATCAGCCCTCTCTCGTGGGCTACTGCAACCTGGTTAACTACTCTCCTTTCAACCTGTAATATAGCACAAACAAGGCAATCAGAGATGGCAGACTTACCCACTTATAAAAAATATATGTACGAATATTTATAACACAAATCATGCTGTAACAGCTACATATATGTGTAAATGACAACTGAACGACTAAAACACAAACAAACAAACCTCATGTTTGATAGACCTGGCTCCGTAGTGGACGTCGTACCCACCAGCCAGCACATCCAGCACCTGTCTGTCCCACAGCAGGGTGATCTTGTGCTTGTTCATGGCCTAGAATGACAACAAAGTACAACTGTTTGGGTTATTTGTACATACAAGAGAGTCTTGACTACAAGTGAGCCAGGATGAAGGTGTTAAAAAAAATTAGAATGGATTCATGGTGGGTATCTTGGATGGATTCAAGGTTATTTCCACAACAAATCAAAAGTTGCTTTCTTGTTTGTCATCCTCAACAGAGGTGAAGCATAATGCTTTTTCAAGTAGCTATACTTGTACAAGTACAATGCAGCTTCCTATCAAAAGTGTGATACTTACTCTGCTGGCCCAAAACTCCATCTCCTTGGTTACCAGCTTGACAAGCTCTGATTGGCTGAACGGCAGGAAGTACACGATCTCATTGATCCGACCAATAAACTCGTCTCTTCTGAAAGCTCTCTGGAAAATGGAATAAGAAATGATTTTGTACAAATATTTTTTAGAAAACTGTACAAATAATTTAATCAGATGGTTTTCAGATTTAAAAAGAATAATAATACAATACTAGTAGTCTAATAGAGAATTTGACGACTGTTGATTTCAAAGGGAAAAGACATTTGATACATTGTGTGCTTAACAATTGTGACATAAAAATCTATCTCACCTTTAAGATGGGATACACTACTTTCTCTTTAAACCGTCTGGAGATTGTGATCCTTTCAGTCATCAAGATGTCATCATCTGAAAGTATGGACATTCATTTTGGAAATGTTGGTAATGACAATTATTGTAAGGACATCAGCAACAAGGTATAATATAGCTACACAGCCATGCGGCTAGAAATACCATTGTATTTTGAGGTACATTGTATATGCAACAGTTGTATTTTAGAGCAAAATCAGTTGAAGACATCACTCAGGCAGCTGAAAACATAACCTTCTTGTTGAATGTGATAAAACTCTTCTGTGTTTGTTCCAGTGTGAGTGGATCAAACTAGTCACTCTTGTCATAATACTGATAGTGTTAGTTGTACAGCTCGAACTTAAATGTACATGTACCTTACGCTGGTATGTTACATGCCTTCAGGCAGTTAATCAGTTCCATGTTTGTGATACAAACAACAAGAAAACCTGACCGCCAGTCTCCTGTCTTCTCTGGGCCCAGACCTCCTGTGCCTCCTTCCGCAGCTGAAGTCCATGGTCAGCGATCACTTCACTCGCTAGGTTAGAGGTCATGACAAAGATGGCGTCCTTGCACTCCACAGTCTTTCCCTTTCCATCTGTAAGCCTTCCCTATTGTAATAGTTTTAAAGTCAATTTAAATTCTTGGCTCTCCGATTTAACAAAAAAATATTACTAAACTGGCAGATCAGCATGTAAACAGAGTCTGATGGGAAAGACTACCTTGGTAAACACAGTTTCAGGGACTAATAGTTTCCGTCTCAACATTGTGGTTTCATGTTGTCCTCTCCATAGACTGTGGCTTTAAAAGTGTCCAGGAACCGAGGAAATATCCTTTGTGTGACCTAAGCTACAGAGAGTAGTAGCAGGATTTTCTTCAAACCCTCTAGCTTAGCTTTATTCATGTCAACAATTGAACAACCTCGACACTGCATGGGAGGCAGCAAGGACAGATCCACCTGGCGAGGTGCTACGCTCCCCATTGGAGCAGGCCAGGCAGTCATGAATGAGTGAGTGACTAGCTTACATCTGATCCTCTTGCTTAAACTTTACTTCAAAATGTCAAAGTAAAAAATGTAAAGTATCAAGAATGAAGGAAATGGATGCATTTCCTCCCACCTCATCGAAGAGCTGTAGCATGATGGTGAGGACGTCAGGATGGGCCTTCTCCACTTCATCAAACAACACCACGGCGTTAGGGCACTGCTTTAGCTTCTTAGTCAGCTGGCCTCCCTGCTCATGGCCAACGTACCCCGGCGGGGACCCAATAAACTTTGCAACCTAGGTGGTAAAAGAACATTTGTTTACAGAGGTGCAGTGAGTTGGAATAGACTGCCACTCAATGTTAAAACTGCTTCATCTGTGTTATACAAAACACTGTGTTCACAATTGAGTGACCTCTGACCTCCAAACCCTGGCATGACCCCGATTGCGAGTATGGATAACGATTTTGATGTTCATGTTTAATTGTTCTTGTCTTGTTGTACAGTACTATATATATTGTCTCATTGTGTGTAATGTACCCAGGGCAACTCCGAACAGCAGTGTTAGTCACTGATAAAGTGTCACCCTGGTAAAAGAATACAGAAGTAAATAAATAAAACCTGTTTTGTTAATTTGGGGACAAAACAAAATACAAATTGAATTACAGTCGTCAAAGTAAGTTGGTAAGGTTAGACATGCAGGTAATAAGATATGCCAAAAAAAGAGTTACTCAAGCAAGTCGATATGCTTTTAGAAACAGACGTTTCAGGTAGTGTCTACTACTTCATCAGTGACACTGGAAAGATTCAAAATCAGCAGATTTATAAACATGAACTATTGAAGTTGTAAGAGTATATTGGGCTATGCTGTGTAAAACAAAGATTTTAAAACAACCTGTTGACAAATGACTCATGGATGACTGAAAGAGACAAAATAACTAGTACTCACCTCATGTTTCTCTTGGTACTCAGACATGTCCATCCGAACAAACCCCTGCAGTGGAAAGATGAATGTCAGTCCAAAATTTTCAGTCCAAAAACATTGTCTTCGATAAAAACTGAATGGATCAAATGATCTAGGCTGATCAGTAACTGTGTAAAGCATGAACAATCAAGAAATGTAACATCCACAATGTAACCTTTCCTTCAAAAGACATGATACTGTTCCTTACCTTCTTGACATCTTTGTGCATGTATCGGGCTATCTGCTTGGCCAACTCTGTTTTACCTGTCAAAGATAGATAAGCAACCATAAGAGACGTGGTGCCTGACTCACCAGCTTTAATGCCTGATCTGTCTGTATAGACAAGTACATGTATTACATTTATGTTCTCGTTCTTTTCTTTTGTTCTAGAAGTGCCTACAGTAAAGGTAGAAGATAATTACCAATGCCAGATGACCCAAGGAACAGGAACACTAGTGGATGGTCTTCATCATACCAGCCGTTCTCCTTTCTTCTGATTGCTATAAGAGAGGAAGACAGGAAAAACTTTCAGCTAGAATTACACATGGCCTCATCATCTTTAAATCTGCTACCCTCAAATCATCTGGTGGAAGGATACTTGAATTTAGGGCAAGAGTGCCTTTTCAAGAACAAATGTATAAAATAAAGCAATGCAGTGCAGGTACGCAAAAGAGTATTCGAGTTAGTTACGTTTCTTAATTTGAATAGGCTGCCATGACCAATGATACTCCCCTCGTATACTGGTGTAATTTTGTGTTAAACCCACCAATTACATCCATAAGGACACCATGAGTTATTGGAATAACAAGTGTTATAATCGAATGCCAATCTCTGTCCCCACCTGCAGCAACAGTAGTGATGGCTCCCTCCTGTCCAATGATGTGCTCCCGTAGTCTCTCCTCCAGGGGAAACTTTCTCCTCTCCTCCACTTGCTTTTGTCTCTGCAGCTCTGCATACTATTATGATTTTGTGGCAAAGGACAGAAGGAGATTAATGCTATGTGACATGTTGATAAAATCTTTTAGTGTTTGAGTGCTGTTTAAAGCAAGTAATTTTGCACACATTTGTACAGCCTAGCCCATAGTTAATCTAGATATAGAAATGCAAAACAAAAACACACAAATGCAACATTTTGCTCAACCTGCAGCCATTCTCTCATTGGTCAAACAATTTTGATGGACAGCCAGGATTTTCTATTATCATATTTGTGGGATACTTTTCTTCAACTTGTGCATATAATATCAACTAACTTTACCTGTAGACAGTCAGCAAGGTACAAGAAACTGTATGAAGGTGAAAGTGAAAGTGAAATCCTCACCTTGTCTTTATACTCCTCCAGGAGTTTTTTAACCTCCATGTTGTGTGCATACAGGCCTGCAGCATGGCCACTGTCATTTTCCAAGGTGGGATCTGCACCTGGGGGAGCAAACATACATTTTTCAACTACTAGTATATGTTCATGGTGGCAGCAGATGCAGATTCCTGTAGATGAAAGTATTATTTATAATGATAAGTTTATGGTACAGAAGTGATCACGAAAACTGCAAACATAAAAGTACTGTTTGTACCATATTTTGGCACATGCAGTTTCAGGAGGTTCAAGTATACCCAGTTTCAAAAAAGATGAATGGATATGATGCTTACCAGCTTCCAAGAGTGCTTTTACAATGTGTGTATCGTCTGTCAGCACAGCATAGTGCAGAGCTGTGCATCCCCGGAAACTGGCTCGGTTATTCAGCCGGTTACTGAACTCATCTTCTCTGGTCACAAGAACTGCAACAACAGCAGAATGAAAAATTGAACTGTCATACATGCCTATTGCCAGTACAGATACAGAGGTATCATTGAGGATGGTTTGCAGGGAAACTTACCATCCAGTGAATGCATTCCTTTCTCTCGTGCAGTCTGGTAAACATTGACAAACTCTTCTCTCATATTTGGGTCAGCACCAGCCTCCAGTAGAGCCTTCACTGCCCTGCAGTCATTTCAGGAGAAAAAAAAAACATAAACAGTTCAACAGGCAATTGTTTTTGTTTTCTGGATTCACCTTTACCAACCAATGGCAGAATACCTGGTACATCATGTATATGTTATAGACCCAACATTTGGTCCTTCTACTTAGGCCATGTTGATTTGATTATATGGATGACATCATCCGGGAACTCCAAAACTGATGCGCGCGTGCGAATAAAAAAAAGTTTTGCAAAAAAAAAGTTCTTTTCATTATGAAATCTACGTGGTCATGAGGGTTGAGCAAATGGCACAGAATATTGTTTGGCGAATAATCTAGTCTTCAAGTTCATTTCTTTACAATTTCGTCTTTTTTGTTTGATTTTGGCATTCTACGAC